TCATTTGAGGAGCAAGAGCAGATTGGCCTTGAATGGTGATGATTTTACTCTCCATGGTTGCTCCTGTAGTTTTTCCTTTCTTCTTGGAGACTTTCTTGAGTTGGGATGAAGTGGAAGAAGACATTTTTTTTGTTTGAAAGCTTAGATTGTTTTATGAGAGAAGAAGGGTAAAAATTCAGAGTATGAAAGGTTTAGAGTGTGAAAAGAAAAAAGGAAGATTAAGTTGATGTTTTATAATGAGAAGATTAAGCATCCACCGAGTAAAGGTGTGATACGTGGAGATCATGGGTTAGTGCGATGAAGAGGTGACGTGAAGTTGATATAGGTAATAGGCGTGATTTAAAATAATCATTACTTATAACTGCACCATGCTGTGAAGTGACTCCGGGCGGTTAAGGAATCCAAAAGGTGCCATGATTGATGTGACTGGAGTCAAATGCATTAAATGTTACGATGATTCGAAAGTCCTATCAAAATCTTGTGTAGATGTTTAAAATATGTATTTCTCAAAGGAATCGAAATACATATTTTAAAGGGGCAATTTGTTGGCTGAAGATTTTGATAGTATTATTTAGAAGCCAAGAGAGTTGAACGTTCTGATCGAAATGGAATTAAACGCCATATTTCGAAGTAACAGAAGCAGTGTTTCGAATAAGGGTGTCAAAGTGTGAAGCTTCGAACGGCGAATATGGGAACATAGTTAAAGGAGTCTCGAAACAACAGCGAGGTTGTGTTTGGGAAAAACGCTCGAAATAGAGAGACACCAAAAGCATTTGAGATTCAAATGGAAGCGGGACTTTCAAAGTTTGAAAGTTATGTGCTGGAGCATTTGGGGACACGTGGAAAGATGAAAGAAGCATTGACTTGCATGTTCGAAACGTGGCATAATCCTGTAGCGAGACCGTTAGGGTCGAATTAGTATAAATAGAAGTCTTAGTATTAGGATTTCGTGTGTCATATCTGTTATACAAAATACTCAATAACATTCAAACTACCACATGGCAAGGGAAACGAATGCAAGAGAAATGTATGTATGATAGCACCATGTATTTCTAACTTAATGAAAGCCTTTTACCATTTCCAGTACTTTCCTCTTTTCTTTTTGTCAAATAACATTTGCAAGTTTTCTTATTTACAATCTTTTCATTTCGAAGTCTTTTCCTCAAAGTTTTACGTTTTACTGTTTTCTTTATATTTCGAGCACTTTATATTTCAGAGAACTGTCACATTTTCAATACCTTTACTTTCAAGTATTATTCTTCAAGCGCATACTTTTACTTAAAATCATTTACAGATTTCTTGCATTAAACGCTTTCTTCACATTTTAAACTTCTACATTCCAGAAACCTTTTATGTTAAACGTTTTGTAAGTCGAAACCATTTACTTCATTTTCATGCGGTTTTATATGTCTTTACAATCAGCATTACAATTAGCATTTATTCGTATAGCTTAGTTTTCATATACATTTTGACCACATTTTTAGACTCTTAGAGAGAGGGATCGAAGTAAGCCAAACACTTATACAATAGCAACCATGAATAATTGTTCGATTGTGAGAGTAACCTTAATATCCAAGGAGTCCTAGGATCAATCTAGTCGATCATGTGAGTTACCAGAGAGATTGAATAACAATAAGAAAGATTATTCGATAGTTTGGAAGACTAGCGGTTGTTTCCCAGAAATCACTGGAAACAATTATGCATGTGAGGTATCTTAGTAAAAACAAACAAAAATACAAGATCATAGTCCCTCGATGACGCTATCAAAGTTGCCTTTCAAAAATGATCTTAGTCCCTAAAGAAAATGCTAAGATATCTTACAACATTGCTAATCATGACTATACGATGACCCTTGCCCGTCCCTTTTACATCCAAAGATAGGGTTTCTTACCAAATCAATGGTAAGATGACAATGTCAAAGGAAAGAGGAAATAAACAAGAAAGACTTTTGAGTGGGTAGAATGGTCCTAGTTTCTTTCTCATTTTCAAACCAAAAACATCCTTGCTATTTTCAAGACAAACACCAACGCTTTCAAAAAAATCTTTCAAACTTGAAAACATTTTCAAAGGATTAACACTTTGTATACATTCTTACGAACGAGAATCATTACAAAGTTTTCCTAAACGATGACGCCCTTTTCAAAATACTTTCAAAAACCACACAAAGCACATTTTCAAACAAAAGTAAGTGATCTAGCAAGTAACTAAGAGCTCGTAGATAACTACGGATGAAAAGGGTGCTAATACCTTCCCTTTTCATAATCTATTCCCCGAACTCAAGAAAACATCTCAAAGGTCTTTCCTTTTCTTTTCAACCTTTCCTTTTGGATAAAAGAAAAGTCAGTGGCGAATCTTGCTAAACCGCAACATTTGCGATCAAACCAAAACAACCAAGTCAGTTCTCCCACCGCGTTACAGCTGCTATTATTTGTTTTACAAAAATTAAGTCAATCCTAAAACAAGAGAACTAACAACTATAATAATGGTGATCAAAGTTTCAAGGAAGCTTACAGGTGCTTCAATGGAGGTCATGCTAATGTTAACTAGATAAAAGGCTATATGGAAATGTTTTATTCCTCCTGCTAAGTCTCTTATCTGTTGGAGACTTATGAAAATTGTGATTAAAAGTTATGAAACCTCTCTAAAAGAGGTATGGATATGGTATCTATATGCTCCCTATGCAATATCAAAATGGGAATTATGGACCATCTTTTCTTAAATTGCAAGTAAACTTTGAGATTTTGAAGTTGGATGGAGGACTTAAAATGTATGAGATTTAATAAATCTAATAATGAGTCTCTCTTCAACATTGTTTCATGAGGATGGAGCTCCCTTCAAAATCTTATTTTAGTTCGTCTCTTCATCGTCATGTAGAAGACTTGACATACAAGAAGTAACATTAGATTTCAACATGATAATGCTAACTTTGAAAATGAGCTAATTCACATTAAGGAATCAATCCACATGGTTTCCCTATCATTTATAGACATATGTATTCTTCCATTCGAGAATTTATCATTCTTAAAACCCTTTCACATTAAATATAGACCACCTCGCACTCCTAAAATCATTCAAATAAGTTGGAGTTCCTGAGGCCGTATTAGATGAAATGCAATTAAAATAGCTCATGTAAGGGCAATACTAGCTTGTCAACTTGTCATGGAATTTTTAGATAAGAAATTGGAAATTTATTAGGAGTTTTCTCGACTAATCTTGGCATCTCCACTTCCTTTCAAGTCGAGCTACAAGGTATAATACGAGTTATTGGTCATCCTAATACTAGAGGTTGAAAGAACTTGTGGATTGAAAGTAACTCACTTATTACTATTAGAGCTTTGAAAAAAGTTAACAACATTCCTTGGAATTGAATTACTAAGTGGAAGAATAGTCTTCATACTATTAGAATTTAGAGATTCAAAATTTCAGACATATTTCGTAAGGACAATTCATGTACGGATAGAATAGTTAATGTTGACAATTTTGTTGACCAAAAAACTTGGTGAGACACTCTCCCCCAATGTTCTTATAATGACTATGTTTGGGATAGATTTGGTTTGACCGATTTTATTTTAGTTGAATTTTATTGGGTAAGATTCTTGCCCCCAACCTCTTTGTAAGTTCTCCATTTTAATTTATGCATTATCTTTATTAATGATAAATATATGTAAATATATATCACGAGAAAAACGACTAGTTGCAACGAATATTATGATGAGTTAAGATATCCTCAGAAAACAACTTCATGTTACGCGCTCTAGAATATTCCCGTGCAACGAATGTAATGCCGAAACTTTACAAAAAAAACGTGTCGTCGAGAAGCACTTTTACCTCATTTATTGCGCAACATTTCTTTAACTTAACATTTCAAAAAATAGTTGTCTGAAATTATTAATTTTGACTTAACGTTTCAAAGAACAGTTGTCTCGGAAATTATTATTTTTTACCTAACATTTAAAAGAACAGTTGTTTCGGAAATTATTATTTTTGACTTAACATTTCAAAAAATACTTATCTCAGAAATGATCATTTTACCACAATTAATTTTAAAAATTATTTATAACTATTTATTATTTTACTTCACCTATATCTCTTTGCACCAAATAGGTTAGAGTATTATTAATAAAGAAATAATGAATTTCGACAAATAAATATAAACAAAATTACTTTATTAAAACAAGTCAAAAGAAACAGATTAGCATTTTACTTAGAAGTAATATAGTGTAATTGAAGTTTCTATCTTTTAGATTGCTTCATGAATTGTCCTGCATGATTTGTACTTGATATGCTGACCCTAATTGGTTTTTAAATAATTAGAAGATGACATACTATTGGTTTACTTTACTCCCAGATGAGATTTGCTTTTAAAATCAAATATCTATATATTTTATCTATAAGATATAAACAATTTATTTCACCATGGTGAGCTTGATTTAAAAACGAGAAGTTCTATGACATCAACATATATAATCTAAATCTAAATCTAAATTCCACTCTTTAATAAGATTGACCATGCATTTTAAATTGATAATACTTTAAAATCAAACTATATATATTTACTTATATATTTTGTTGTCCCACCTTACTATTTATAGTATGATATTGACAATTTAAATTCATGATGACTTTTGCACAAAAAATTATAGTCTTTTTCTCAATATCAAAAGCATGCCTTTTTTTTGTTATAATTAGAGGAGAAAAATTTAAGGATTTGACTTCATAAACAAGTTTTGACCCAATTTTTAAATTCAAAAGACAAAAGGGAATATTTCCATCACAACATACATATACCATTGAAAGGAAAAAAACAAAATGTTGAAGAAAGCTATCAAATTGTAGCTCTTGTGATTCCACCTAAGCCTAATTTTGGAATCTTTGATTTATTGTAGAAAGAATGGTAAAATGGGATGGAAAATAGACAAAGCTAAGCAAAAACGAGGAGGAAAGTTCCCTAAACATTAAATTAGAGACACTTTGTTATGTCGCACATAACACATTTAAACCTATGAACGCCATATTTTTCCCTCCAAGGATATTATGACAACCGTAATGTCATCATGGTATTTCCTTCTTGCTCCATGTGATATATCAAGCAACTCATGAATCTCCATACCTACAATGCAACAATAAAGTCAATCGTTCAAACATTAATTTGACTTAGAAACACCGATACAAACATGAACGACGACACAATACTAAAACTGACGTGTTTATATTAGTCATAGTATAATAAAAGTAAGATTTGAATGTAACTATATCTGTAATGTTATATTGATGCCAGTTAGTCAAACACTAACGAAAGTCAGATACTTACAAATGTCGGACACTAAACATATAAAGTCTAGAGATGGAAAAACAAGTTTGACCCATAAAATATATGTTTTGACCGTTTTTTTCGTGGGACGAATCAAAGTTTTAGGCCCTCGCCCTCTATCTATCCAATTTTTTGTGGTCTTTTGTGAGCGCGAACTTTAATAAGTCTTTTTTTGCAACTATTAGTCTTTAGAGGTGCAAAGCTCACATGTTCGCTCTGCTCTCATTTTATCGCAGGACGGATCAAGATTTTAGACTCACACTCTCAAGTATCTTCGTCCCATCCTACAACGTTTTCTGCAGGCTTTTGCGGAACGTACCTAAACGGGACAAACATGTTTGTTTGCCACTTATGAAGAACGACACTGACATAGACACTGGAACATGACAGTGTACAGACACTCTGACACTGATAATATCAAAAACATATAACATTGACACCACTACATACATGATAGTATTTGAACTTCATTTATCCATCTATTATTAAAAGAGTTAAAAATATCCTAAGCAAAATTATTGTCATTAATTTTTCATTAATAAAATTGTTTCAATACATGTTTAACCTATTTAGTTGTGTGAGAGATTTGTGTTAAAAAATATATAAGATGTGTTGAAGTGAAGAAAAAAACATTTTTTTTTAAACATTATCGGACAATTTAGATAAAAATTGTCTAAATTATCCGATATGTCTTGTATGAATGTCAAACGAGTGTCGGACACCGATTTAAAATATGTTAAAATAAAGAAAATAAATTATTTATTTGAGGATATTTGTTAGACTTTTCTATCACGTGACGTATAGATGTCATACAAGTATCGGACACTACTACACACCTCTCGTAGAGATGTTTGTGCTTTATTGTTTGCCACCCTTAACGAAGTTTTGGAGTAAAGATCAAACTAAAATCAAATGCAAGCACAATTTAAACTATTGTTAAAAGGAAGTGCTTCGTACAATGTTTTTTGGCTGCTTGGCAGAGTGCTTCTTCAATGAGAAGTTGAGCAGGATTTTTGTAAGGATAAGTGTTGATGAATAACTCTACTTTGGCAACTGCTTCTTCATTGGTGAAGTATTGGTAAAGTCCATCAGAAGACAGTATGAGAAATTTGTCACTTGAGCAGAGCCTGTGATGATGCAGTGAAGGGGAGCATATGATATATGGAGATTCCCCTATGTAGTTAACTTTGAAAGTCGCTAACATTGCATCATTTTGTTTAGGCTGCAGAGTAAACCAAGAGGGTCATGCCATTGTTATGCTGTTGGTAAATAATTTTAAAAACATAGAGCAATGAAGGAAACTAAATTTGAAGTATGACATGTATGAAACACGGACGCGGACGCGGACACCGACATGTGCACAAGACACAAAATTCACACAAACAATAGATTAATAACAGGAACAGAACTAACAAGTAAAGAAAACCCTAGCATGGTATAAACTATAATATACTCAATGATGTAATTCAATATAACAGTGAAAAAGGAGCCTTAAACTAGCATAATCCATCAAGTTACCTGCTTAAGAAATCCTGTGCCGAAAGCCCTTGTGATATTCAAGTAACCCTTCACTCGGCCATTAGTTATCACAGAAGCGTCATCTGGATGCTCCTGTTTGATTCTACGAATCTCCTGCGATTCAGAAATGAAAAAAAAATAATTAAAATAATTCATCAAGTTACCTCCCAAAAATCTACAAAAGCTACTCTTCGCAGCTAATGCAAAATCGCGGTGGTTCAACGTGATCTTATCAAATTCACTGCGACAAAGAAACATTCACTTGCAAAAGCTACCCAATTTTAACAAATTTGCAACAAATATAAAACTACCTCTCTCGCATGAGCACTATGATCGACAGTAAGCTGAAAATGATTCCCAGTCCGAGTAGCTAAAACAGCACGACTATCACCAACATTCATCAAGTAAACATCTTCCCCTTTCATCAGCATAACCAAAACACAAGAACCCATCATAGCTAACACAGGATTCCGCGTAATCATCTCATCGACTATCTTCAAAAACGCATCCTCAGTTTTCCTCAATGCCTCAGAAAGTGCTTCCAACACATCAGAGTGACTAAAACTTTCTTCACTATTACCGTTTCGATTACATAGAAACTCTTTAAGCTCGTCATGCACAGCGCAAAACATGTCCTTCTGAAGATAATCGGTCGCATCAGGGCCATTGAATCCATCATATATCCCTACATAAATCCATCCATGATCCTCGCATAATATAATATGAACACGATCCTCGCCACCTTTTCCTCGAGCCATATCAAAATTTTCACATACCATTAACGAGTCATCACATCCACCACCACCACCACCACCATCAGCCGCATCATCATCATCACCACTCAAACTAGTACCAGAACTCAGTCTTCTATAACCACTGCCATTACCATTGTCACTTTTCTTAAAACTCAAGCCTTTTTCAAATACTGCATTGGAGAAGACTCTACTCAGAACCCTCTTCAAGCTGATCTTACTAGTACTATCCTTCTTCATCTTCTCATGCTCTGAATCATCATCCTCAACGGAATCACCATTCCTCACACGATCGTAATGACTCCAAGGAACCGTTGTGGGAACGAAAGAGCCAAAGCTTTCAAACGAAGCAGAAGAATCCAAAACAGTGTTTTGAAGAGAGTCATCAACGTAAATGGAAGGCGTTGACGACAAGTTCGCACTAACGACGGCGCTGGACACCGACCCAAAACTCATTGTGGCGACTGCAGAGTCATCGGACAATGTGTCCCCGTCGCCGGAGATTCGAGGTGGGTCCGGTCTGGCATAAGTGACAGAGGTGCAAACAGCTCTATCAGGTTTCTTGGACAACAAGGTAGAGGTGTTTTGCAACCTGCAGCAGGTATCACCGGCTCCGGCGGAACAGAGGCACATGTTGCCGATTCTGTTACCCATTGGAGAGTTAGAACTATGAAATTATGTGTTCAAGTGTGATTTTTATAGATGAAAATTTTTGTAACTTATTAAATGTTTAAAAAATAAATAGTTGACTTTTTTTAAATCTTTGAAACTTTTATTATTGTTATTATTATTTTCTGATTTAGTTTATATAAGTTGACTATATGTTGAGAATAAATGAATATAGTATTAGTCATAGCTTTTGCAGAAGTCACTTTTTTTTAATATATTTTTTGGATTGTTGAATAAATTTTTGAATTTAATAGGGGTTTCTTAAAGGGAAAGATTTATGTGTATTTGAATTGAATCTTAGAAATAATACAGAGTTTCGATAAATCAGCTCAATTATTATGTGTAACAATATTAGATGTATGAATGAGTTCAATTCATCTTTAAAATATATATTTATTTTGATAATATTGATAACTAATGTTTTATTTCGAACAAGTAATTATACAAATTGATGATAAATTCAATTAAGATACTAACTTATAAATTTCAATAAGAGATTAACACATATTTATGATCAATTCAATTAAGATATTATATAAATTATTGAATTATTAATTTTTATCAATGGTGCAATTTCCGACATGCGTTATTGTTGACTGACGAATATTAAAAAATTTAAAAGAATTATGATTTAAATTTTATAGTTTAAAAATATAAATGTTGACCAATTTATTTTTAATTATGAATTTGAAAGTAAAATATAAAGTTTTTTTTTAAATTTAAATATTAATATTACTAATATGTTGTAAATTTTTGGAATAATTTTTGGAAAATAACTATAATAAAAAAAGAAAGAAAATAGTTACATGCTATTAATGCATCATTTATGTGTTATTTGAATTTCAGAAATAGTAATAGTAACAAATTAAATTTACCATGATACTTTTTTACTTTTGTAACAATGATAACCAATGTTTTAAAATCTGAAAAATTGATTGATATAGATGATGATCAATTCGATTAAGATATTAAATCATAAAGTTGAGTAAGAGATTAACACATATTTATGATTGATTCAATTAAGATATTATACATTGAATTAATAAGCTTTATCAATGGTGCAATTTCCGACCTGCGTTATTGTTGACTGATGAATATTAAAAAATTTAAAAGAATTATTACATAAATTTTATATTTTAAAAATATAAATGTTGACCAAGTTATTTTTAATTATGAATTGGAAAATAAAATATAAAGTTTTATTTTTTTTCAAAATTTGAATATTAATATTATTAATATCTTGTAACTAAAAAAATAATTATAAAGAAAAGAAAAGAAGCTAGTTAAATGCTATTAGTGCATGATATATATTTAAATTTTGATAATTTTTAAAACAAATAGAATTGAATTCTAAACAAACGGCTTACATACATCTAACTAGACTAACACATATCTAATAGAACACTCCACCACTCTCATTTTTATTTGTTTAATTTATTTGATATATCCATTTTTATTTGTAATTTTGATTTTCAATTTATCTAATCGAGCTAAACATAATGGTCCATCTTTTAAATCTATAATTATGAAAATATATAATATATTTAGGTCTTGCTACAAATGTCTTAAGAGAATTTTTAAAGTAAAAAAAAAAAATTTATTAAAATAGTCAAATATTACAATTTTCAATACATTGAATTTACAAATTTTCATTAAAAAAAATATTATTTTACTCCCTTCCATCACTGTACAAGTAATTATAATATTTTTAAATCAATTAAATAATTTACTACTAAAAAAATCAAATTTAGAGAAAATAGTTTTCTGTCACTAATGAACTAAAATTCTATTACAAATCACTTTAGTAACAAAATTAATGACACATTGATATTTGTATCGAAATTGAATGTTATATAATATTAGTGACAAATTTTAAATTTTAATCATAGATAAGTACGGAATAAATCGCTCAGTGACTATCACTAATTATATTGATAAGAAAAACGCCTTTACACATATATTTTTGTCACTAATTAGCGAGGGAAAATAAAAACCTCACAAATTATGAGGGATTTATTTCCTCACAAATGTGTCACATAACCTATTTTTGTCATTAAACAAGAAGACAATGAATTAGCGACGTTATATAACAAACTTGTAAATTTTGTGTGTGCTTATAATAGTGGAGAGATTAAAAAAATATATTTTCATATTTTTTTAAAAACAAATATAAAATTTTATAAAATTAGTTACACTTATTATTTATTATATTATGGTGGGTGAGGTAATTTAATATCTGCTAGTTTTTATTTTTAAAATAAAATAGTAATATATAAAAGAAGATAGTTACACAAAAAGTAGGTACTAAGCTAAAACTCATTAAAATATTAGTGAACTTATAGATTAATATATCTAGTCTATTTTTTACAATTTTTTTTTTAATTAGCATATGTCCGGAGTCAAATAATTGAAGGAAAACGGATGTGAGGTCTATGTTAGCAAAAAAGTTTATATACGAGTTACTTTCTCTATAAATATACATAAAAAAGTGTTCATGTTAGTGATATATATTAAGCACCTATTATAAATGTTTCTTAACTGTCAAGGAACCAAAGAAGTTTTGGAGAGGGCTTGCACCATAAGTAAGGAATCAGTTTCTATCCATATATTAAGCCACGACTTTTGAAGGGTGATGATGATTGCTCTTATTACCGCCCTGAATTCATCATGAATAGAAGAAAGAGAGTTGAGACTCTCTAAGAATGCAAGGACGAAATTTGCATTGCTAGTTCTAAAAATGCCACCACATCCAGAATTGTGGGACTCGTGATCAAACGCGCCATCACAATTACATTTGTGCCAACCATTAGGAGGTGGTTTCCAAATCACTTCCTTGATTGAGGGGGCGTTAGAGTAGTTGATTTTGATGCTAAATTTTTTGAGCAAAGAGAAGTTCTTCTTGGAGAAGTAGGCCATAGCAGCAGTTCTTTTACTAGAAATATTAACACGAGCCTTGATGTTTGCGATCAAAATGGTGGTGGTGATGAAAGAAAAAATATTTCTTACTTTGTTTCTTACAAGCCGAACTCCATGCTGCAAGCTGATGATGATTTCTCTGAGGATAATGGATACTTGAGCATATATTGAAGATATAATGTGTCAAAGATATTCCAAGTTTGAGTGCTTGAAATTGGTACTTGTGAACTTGAAAAACCAGTTCCACAAAATCTTAGGATAGTTACAGGAGAAGAACAAGTGCTGAAGAGTTTCAGAGTTGCTCATACATAGAGGGCAGCAGGAAACAATGCAGAAGCCTCTTAATTGCAATGCCACATTAGTGAGAATTTGTGGGTGCATTAATCTCCAAGCTAAGGTGGACATAGAGGGAGGAATTTCCTTGCTAATGTGCATCTTGTCCAAGAAATAGAAGATGTGGGTTTGGCCTTGTGAAAGTATGTGTGATACGGTGGGAGAACTGACTTGAGATTTTGCGTTTGTATTCGCACTTGTTCGGTTTAGCAAGAGTCGCCACCGACTTTTTATTTTATCCTAAAGGAAAGGTTAAAAAGCACAGGAAAAACCTTTGAGATGTTTTCGTGGGTTCGGGGGGTAGGTTATGAAAAGGGAAGGTATTAACACCCTTTTCATCCATGGTTATCCATGGGCTCTTAGTTACTTGTTTTAGATCACTTGCCTTTGATTTTCAATTGCTTGAAATGGTGGTGTGTGTGTGTGTTTTGAAAATATTTTGAAAAAGATGCCTTGTCTAGGCAACCGTTGTAACAATTCTTTACTTGAATGTTTTACAAAGGTGTGTGTCTTTTCGAAAAGATGTTTCAATGTTTTGAAAGTTGTTTTGAAAGTTGTGTTGTGGAGTGTGCTTTGAAAAGTAGGCAAGTGGTGTTTTGCAAGTTTGATCAAGTAACTAAGAGTTGTCTACCCCTAAATTTCTCAAAGATCTTTCCTATGTTTTAACCCTTTTAACAGTATTGTTCCACCATTGTATTTGGTGGACAATCTTGTGTTAGGATGTTAACGGGACGGGCGCGGGTCATCGTATAGACCATGAATGCAATGGTGCCAAGTGTCTTTGGCAATTTTGCTTGAAGGGACTATGATCATTTTGTTTGGGCAACTTCGAAAGCGTCATCGAGGGACTATGGTCATTTGTTTAGGCAACTTCGAAAGCGTCATCGAGGGACTATGATCATTTGATTTGTTTTGTTTTGCCAAAAAACACTCAACATGCAACATGGCCCATTTTGGAAGGCAACAAGCGGGATTACCCTAGGGGTGCAAGTGTGAATTGTGTATTGATTGTCATGCATTTGTCTTGTATTAGGTTATCTAGCGGTTGATTTTAAATCTGCGCATACAAACCCTAATTACTATACAGTATATAGAAAGCGATAAATTGCGGGAATTTAAAGTCTAAGCTATTACAAATAAGTATCTGGGGATGGGGGTACAAATATTTACAAATGGGGATGAGACTTATTAGGAAAGTAGTGTCCAAATATATTTACAACCAAATCGAATCGCATTCTCAAATGTAACATGTATCAATGTATAAGAATAAAAGCGATGTATCAAAAGTATTTGTGTAAGTGTATGTGATTTATTTACAAGTGATGCAAGATATTAACTTAATGCAAAATTAAATAAGTATTTATTCTTTTTGTATTTTTGTTAATATGTACAAACATATTTAATAAAAGAAAAGAAATTTTTTTTAAGCTTTTAGAGGAAATTAACATTTATACATTTTAGTTTATATACAAGATTTCAATGAAATAAAAAAGTTTCTAAAAGAGAAAATTGTTCAACTTAAAAATGTATTTTTTATGTATTTTAAGTGTAATAAAAAAAGTATTGTTACTAAAAAAAATCTTAATAGATGAAAGAAAACAATATATCATTTTTATTTAAAAAGTTAATTTATGTATATAGAAAAAAAAGGTAAGGTGATAGAAAAATAATGTTAGTTTGAAATGAAAAATAAAATAAATAAAGAAGGATGAAAAGATTGAATGGGCTTAGTGCAT